AAGAACACTTAGTTGAGAGCAGGCAAAAAGCTAATATGCTACAAGCAATAAGCTTGAAATGCCATGTTGACACTTAAAATTTTTCGCCGAGATTCCAACAGCCGAGTAATTCTGCAATTTATTTTGCTGAGATTCAGTCAAACAATTGCTGATACTCAGCTAACAAATAACATTTTGCTGAGATATCAGCAAAAGTAAATGCCGAAGTAATCGGCTGCTGGAGATTTTACCGAGCTAGATTAAGTTTGTAATTTTGAGAAATCGCGGATTTTGTGGATCAAATTTTGAAAATCTTGTATCAGTCCTGGCCATTTTTACTATCGCCATTTTTTCAAAATGGCGTATTCGATATTTTTCAAAATGGCTGATCTAGTCGAATTTGATGTCTGAGTTGAAGTCGTAGGAAACTGGATTGTCTTTTCAAAAGAAAAAAAGCTTCAATAAAAAAAGTATATTTCTATGATTTTTAAACTTACGTTTATTAGAAAGCTTATCATAAATGCTAACTTCACTGATATGTACAATGGACATTTAAAACTTGAACAAAACAGTAAAACATCAACTTTCAATCAAACTTTTTAACTTTTTTTCGAAAATAATTTTAGTTTTTTATCCAGAAAATCGTTTCCTATACACACACATTACATAAATATTGCGTGAAAAAGTTTAAATTTTTAACTAAAATATGATGTACATAACATAAGTTAAATAATCTTAAGAATGTACTTTGTTTGTTATTGGTTTTTTTTCTTCATTTTACGACGAAAATATAATTATTTTTTTTTCAGTGTGTATTTTTTTCTGAAAAAGTTAAACCAATTTCCTTCAACTGTGTCTCAGACGTCATTGCGATACGCTGAGCCGTTTTAGTGCTATGATTTATTGAAAAATATTGAACACGCCATTTTGTAAAAATTAGGTGTGTTTCAAAATGGTCGAATTCCAGCACAAACTTGGTTCATTGCCCTTAGCGAACAGTTATGCGAAGTTTCATGGAATTCTGAGCGGATAAATCTGAAATCTCGCGCAACACGAGACAAGGGCCTATCATAGTTGATCGATTCTCTTCATCGATTTTCTCTTTCGTGAATAACCCGACTGCAAATGAATGTCCCATTCAGTGTGTTGTTTCAGCTAACATCTAGACCAACAACTGAAATAGGCGGAACAACCAAACGTAAACAATGGCTTTAAACCCAAATTCCTCGAGAATCAAAGCACATCCAAGTAATCTAACACCGTCATCTGATAGAGCAAACGTCTTTTATCGAATGGCGTTGTTAGTTTGTGTGGGAGTGTTTTGATTCTCGAGAATTTTGTGTTTAAACCTATTGTTTACGTTTGGTTGTTCCGCCTATTTCAATTGTTGGTCTAGACATCATCTTGTGTCGAACTGTGCTGCGAGCTTAGCGAGAATTTCGTTTATGTTGCCGTTATAAACCAAAGAGAAAGTCGATGAAGAGAATGGATCATCAATGATAGGCCCTTTTTAAATGTTACGCGAGAAATTCGTTTATTTTTTCGCTATTTGGCGTGGATTTGCTCGACTGTTGGTTTGCCTGAATGAGTCTGATGCGGTGGGGGGAAATCGACGTTTAAAGCCATTGTTTGTATTCAGCACATGGGCTCTTTTCAAATGTTGTTCAAGAATGTATGCTGGAATTCGGCAATTTTAACTCGGCCTAATTTTACAAAATAGCGTAGTGCAAACTTGACTTATTGCCAATAGCGAACAGTTATGCAAAGTTTCATGGAATTCGGAAAGGGTTATGTTTGAGTCGTCAGTTGGTCTAGTTTCACTTTTTTTTCAGATTTCTCGGTTCAAAAACACCAAAATGGCTTTTAAGCTGGCTTGCATGCTATATATCAAAAAAATACTAATATGATACTATATATATAAAATTCGGAATGAGGAGGGACCATCAGGGCACCCATTTCAAGCTATTTGGATGGGGAGAGTGAAGATGTCAACCAGCTGCTGCTAAAATTTTGTGGATAAAGGGCAGGCTCTTCTCCCCATTCATTGGGGCATCTTCCTGTTGGATGGTTCGTTTTGAGACCGATTGGCTAATCAAGTTGTTGGAAGGAGATTCATAACTGTCCCAAGGAAATGAATAGGCGATTACCTATCAATCCATGCATTCGTTTTTGGCCCTTCATACAGCGATTTGCTGATGACAATCAGAGGTTATTAAGCTAGATCAAGTTCAACAGTGACTTGAGCCCACAGCTATCGTACTATTTTCCGTGTAACAATGAGCGTTAGACCACTATCACACTATCATCAAAATGGATTGCATGCTTTTAAATTAACACAAAGGCTTAGCATATCCAAAACGTCCTTAACCATCCTAGTGCATTAGGAAAAAAATACACATTGTTTCCAGGCCAAAAGTGACCTCAATGCACTAGGAAGGTGCAAGAAATTAAGATGATGATATGGTGATACGGAACTACCACGAACAGGATCATACAACAGGTCCAATAGAAGGATGAGTGGGGAGAAGAGCCCGCCCTCTTTTCACGAAATGTAAGCATTTCCACTCTCCCCATCCATTTCGCTTCAATCGGGTACCCTGGTGGATCCTCCCGTACCTAGCAGCGATTTGCTGATCGCTGAGTGAGTGAGTGAGTGAGTGAAAAATCGCTAATTGTGACTCTCATGAAGTGAAATGAACAGGTTTAATGTGTCAAACACATTCTTTGAAACCTCTTCTTGTATCTCACCAATGCAACATATGGTCATAGCATCTAATTATTTCATAATTCAGAAAAAGCAGTGGCGAGGTTACGCGACACTTTTTACCTGGGGACCAACTTTCAAAAACAGATTTAATGCCATATGTTTCAAGTCGATAATCTTTATCTGATAGTTGTTGATTTAGTTCGGAATGTTATCACTAGGTACACACTTAGAAATAACTAATTTTACACGTGACGGAATCCATCTTTGATATAAAAGATGAGACGTAAACAAACATGTCATGTAATATTAAGTGCTCCGAGACTGAAAAGTTTGAAAGTACTGAATTTCGCGTCTGTTATGACTTAAATTTATGTCAAAATTGACGCTCGTATATGTCAGTCTCAGAGCACCTAAATTTACATGATTTTTTCTAAGTGTGTAGTGCTAGTATGAATTTGGACTTCTCGCATCCCATATCGAGAACTTGAGCTGATAGAATTTTGCTGTCTCAGGCCAAGCTGGCCAGTAAGACAAGATCTACTTTATGGTGGACAGATTTTCGAACTAACGCGGTTTTAAGCAAAGATACATGTAGAGGCTACTTTTTCAAAAAAGCATTTCGAAAGTTTTTTGAAATTATCTCGACTACCAGCCTCTTTCAGCCTTCCCCATTCCATGACAATGAAATACTCACAATGTTGGGTATCTACCAACTTTTCGGAAACCGGATGTCCCCATCTTACTTTCCACAATAATTGCGTCGAAATTTGATTTGCCAATGGGCGTCCCGTTAAAAAAATACTCGTATTGTAGAATATCTGACACCTTTTCCGAAACCGGATGTCATAGTTTTATCGAGGTTTAAGAGACATCTTCAGGCCTAAATCGTGTTCTACAAGAGTATGGTAATTCCGGAATTGTTACTTGGGATTGGAAGCTAACTTGGTGTTGAACTTCATTTTCTGGCCTCTACTAGTCGTTCATATTCTGAAATTATCCATCGAAGGGGTGACCCAGCCCCTGGCTGAAAACCTTTTAAATAAAGCAAAAATCGTGGAAAATTTTGCTCAATCTATGGAGTGATCTGCGTTTTGGCAAATTTGAGTGAACGGAATTCATCTTTGATTCGGATTCAACGCCCGCGCGTATTCACTGTCTGAAGGCAGCCATCTTAAATTTGGATCCGCCAACGTGGATTCCAAAATGGCGGCATGTAGTTTTTCTTATAAAATTCAGTTAACCAAAACGGAGTAAACATAACTAAAATCAACGGAATTCGAGTTACTCAAACAATGAGTAATATTAAAACACCGGGCTGATTAACTGTACTATTTACAAAAACCGATCAATGGCCCCTCAAACACCGAATTTACAGAAAGAAAACTGCCCTGCCATCCAATTTCTGTAATCTCCTAAATGCAATTTTATTAAAGCCACGTCCCGTTGGTTCCACTTTATGCTTCAATTGCATTTCATCTTCATCGCTCTTAAATCATTCTTCCCCCTGTCACACCCGTCGCCCACAGAGTCCCCTCTGTTCATACCCATTCCCCTCCCCCACCGAACCAATCCAATCCATCTTGGGAAAACCCCCGGCCAGGACGACGTACGCTCCTTTTTTATGGCCTTAGTCCGCATGTGCCGGCATTGTTGTCGCAGAACACCGCTGCGCTGCTGCAGCTCTGCTGTTGCTGTTCCCACCACCACACTACTACACTGTACATACCACCAGTCGTTGGTGCCTTCTATTTTTCTACCCACCCCCTACCTCTCGTGTGTCCACCACCCCATTCCGTGATGCAGACCTTGATGATGGGTGCACGCGAGCAATTTTCACACTCCCGGAGCTTCACTCTGCTCTGCTGATAATCGCTTACGTATTTCCTCCCACGACTCATGATCCTGGTGGAAGCGCTGTGTGACGCACAGATGCACCCACTACCGATCGATGCCCTCGTGTGGACCGCTAGAGAGCGAGAGTGGGTGGGAGGAGAGCATCATCACTCCGAAAAGGCATCCTTTCCCCCAAAGCCCATAAATCACACTCTGTTGTAATTCGTAATTGGAATTAATCTGCTTAGAGAATCGCATCTGCCATGTGCGATGCATCCTTGTTGCCGCCTTGGCAATGCAATTTAACATCGCTTTATAGTTCGCCACGTGCTCGCTCACTCGCTCGCAGTAAATGTTCAAGATTTCTACCCCCAGATCATCAGACAGACCACCGACCGTGTTGGTTGCTGCAAAGCACCGGTAAAATTCACCTTCCACGCGACTACCAAAATATTTCCCCCCTTATTTTTCTTTGCGCCAGACGATGTTGGACAAGGAAAAGCAGCGCTTCCATGAGATGGCCGAGAAGGACAAGGCGCGGTACGAGCTGGAGATGCAGAGTTACGTTCCACCGAAGGGTACCGTGGTCGGTCGCGGTAAGAAGCGAAAGGCATTCAAGGACCCCAACGCACCGAAGCGATCACTGTGAGTATCACGAATCCGAGCGTCCACCCGTCGTAGCGTGACCAATAAACTTAAATTCGATTCGGTTTTTTTTTTTCAGGTCGGCATTCTTCTGGTTCTGCCACGACGAACGGAACAAGGTCAAGGCCCTGAATCCGGAGTACGGCGTCGGTGACATCGCGAAGGAACTCGGCCGAAAGTGGTCCGACATGGACGCAGAAGTCAAGTCCAAGTACGAACAGATGGCGGAGAAGGACAAGGCGCGGTACGAGCTGGTTAGTTTCAATTCTTATTTACTATCTAAAATATATGTGGGTCCAGGTTTCTATTGCTATGTATTTTAATGTGAAGATTTATTCGGAAGATGGCTTAGGAAAAAGTCAGGGAAGTTAACTCCTTAAACTTTGCACCCAAATCTGGGACGGGTAACGCATGTCAAGCTGATTGCATACATTTGTTTAAGTGCAATGCCAAGTTGCAATCTTCGGTAAAGTTAGTCAGATCAGGGTGACCAATGAACCGGGAAATTTGGGAAAACCGGGAAAAACCATGAATTCGAAATCACCGGGAAAAACCGGGAAACCTCGTAAATTTCGATGACAAATCACCTTTGCTGAGAAATTTTAAATAAGAAAACTTGAGCAAAACTACTGTTTTTAGGGACACTCTAACTCAATTCAAGAAAATAGTTCTAAAGCGATCAATTTAAGAGATACAAAAAAGTTATATTTTGCAAAGTTGCTTGAAATTAGCTCAGCTATAACTTTGCCGAAGAATATATACCTTAATTTCTTCAAACAAAAAAGTTAGATTTTTGATTTCAATGAGAATAAGAACCACCCTAGAATTCATTGTCATAAAAATGAGGGCCTAACTATAAGGAACAACTTTGTAGAAGAGACTTTTAGTCTAAAGTTTCAATTTCAGGTTCAAAACATATCCTTCCACCTAAATCTGTATTCTGGACCACTGTGCGTTGGGGTAAAATGAGCACCCTGTCGGGTTGATTTGAGTAACCTTGTAAACAACGGTTAAGAATATTATGTTCTCTTCAGGCTTTATGAAGGATCAACAATGAACAGTTTTAGCAACAGAAACAATTATTTTCTGTACAATAAATTAAATTTCAGAAGTACTGCCTATAGACTTCTTTGACGTTTGTGAAATGCACAAGTATTAGTGTAGAATTTTGGGTAAATTACAGTATTAGTACAAGAAAAGCTTTGAATTTATCCAAAGTTCTGCACTAATACTTGTGCAATTCACAAACGTCAGAGAAGCCTATTTAAGGCTATATTTTTTCAGTCTTACCAAAGCAGCTTATTCAAAACGTGATTTCACATGATACAGTCATATTTATGAAAGGAATAATGCAAAATAGAAGAATTTAACTTGGAAGGGGGAAGTTCAGGGAATTTCTGCTAACTTCAGGAGATATCTGCGAACTTCGGGAAATTTCTGCGAACTCCAGGGAACTTGATGCAATTGCTGCGAACTTCACAGAATTTCTGAGAACTTCAAGATATTTCCGTTAACTTCAGAGACTTTCTGTGAATTTGAGAGATGTTCTGCAAACTTGAAGGATGCTCTGTAAACTTCCGCAAATTTCAGGTAATTTCTTCTGTGTGAACCTCCTGGAAGTTCTGAGAACTGCAGAGCAGTTCTGAGAAATATAGGCAAGTTCAACCAATTTCTGAAAACAATAAAGAATTTCTGCGATCTTCAGGGAACTTGTGACAATTTCGCGAACTTCATTGAATTTTTGAGAATTTAAGGGAATTTCTGAGATCTGCAAGAAATTTCTGCAAACATTAAAGAACTTCTGTGAACTTCAGAGATGACGGCCAACTTCCAGGGTGCTCTGCAAACTTCAGCAAATTTTTGCCAACTTCAAAGAATTTCTGTGAAGTTATATTTGTTCTGTTAACTTCAGGGAAGTTCTTAAAGCTTAAGAACTTCGAGTCATTGCTGCGAACTTCAGAGATGTGCAAACTTCCGGAAATTTCAGAGAAACTGGGGAATTTCTGCAGACTTCATAGAATGTCTGCGAACTATGAGATGTTCTGTAAATTTGAAAGACGCTCTGCGAACATCTGGGAATTTCTGAAAATTTGTATAAACTTCAGGGAAGTTCTGTGATTTTTAAGGAAGTTCTGCGAACTGCCGAGAAGTTCTACAAAACTTAGGGGATTTCTGAAAAATTACGAACTTTGATTCTGCGAACTTCAGAGATGTTCTGTGAACTTGGCGGATGCTCTGCAAACATTTGTGAATTTCTGTGGATTTCAGGGAATTTCTGTAGAGTTCATAGAATTTCTGCAAACTTCAGGGAGCTTGTGGCAATTTCACAAACTTCAGAGAATTTCTGCAAATTTCAGGGAATTTCTGTGAACTGCACAAAATTCCTGGGAATCATGAGTTGAAGGATATTCTGCAAGCCTCCAGGAATTTCTGCAAATTTCTGTGAACTTCAGGGAAGTTCTGTGATGTTCAGGCAGGTTCTGCGCACTGCAGAAAAGTTCTACACAATTTAGGGAATTTCTGCTAACCTCAGGGGTTTTCTGCAAAATTACGAACTTTGATGCTGCGAATTTCATAAAAATACTGCAAACTTCAGAGACGTTCTGTGAACTTGACGGATGCTCTGCAAACTTCTGGGAATTTCTGCGAATTTAAGGGAATTTCTGCAGAGTTCATAGAATTTCTGCAAACTTCCGGGAATTTCTGTGAACTTCAAAAAAATTCTGTAAACTTCAGAGCGTTCTGAGAAACTTAGGGAATTTAGGCAAACTTCAGCAAATTTCTTCAAAATTCAAAGAATTTCAGGGAGCTTGTGGCAATTCCACAAACTTCAGAGAGTTGCATCAAATTTCAGGGAATTTATGTGAACTAAAAAAAAATCTGTTGGCTTCCGGGAATTTCTGCATATTTCTGTGAACTTCAGGGAAGTTCTGTGATCTTTAGGGAAGTTCTGCAACCTGCAGAGAAGTTCTACAAAATTTAGGGAATTTCTGCGAACTTTAGGGGATTTCTGAAAAATAACGAACATCGAAGAATTGCTTCGAACTTCAAAAAGTTTCTGCGAACTTCAGAGATCTTCTGTGAACATGACGGATGCTCTGAAAACTTTTGGGAATTTCTGCAGAGTTCATAGAATTTCTGCAAACTTCCGGGAATTTATGTGCACTTCAACAAAAAAAATTGTAAACTTCAGGGAAGTTCTGCAAACTGTAGAGAGTTCTGAAAAATTTAGGGAATTTAGGCGAACTTAAGCAAATTTCTGCAAAATTCAAAGAATTTCGGCGAACTTCTGGGAGCTTGTGGCAATTCCACAAACTTCAGAGAGTTTCAGCAAATTTTAGGGAATTTCTGCGAACTCAGAAAAAAAAAATCTGCGTGCTTCCTGGGAATTATTAGATGTTCTGCAAAGTTGGAGGATGCTTTGCAAGCTTCCTGGAATTTCTGCAAATTTCTGTGAAGTTCAGGGAAGTGTGAACAGCAGAGAAGTTCAGGCGAACTTCAGCAAATTTCTACAGAAATAAAAGAATTTCTACGGACTTCAGGGAATTTCTACAAAAATCCAAGTATTTCTACGCACTTGTGTCAATTTCTGCGAACTTAAGAGCATTTTTGATAACTTCAGGGAATTGCTGAGATCTTCAAGAAATTTCTGCAAACTTCAGAGATGATCTGCAAACCTTCGGGGTGGTGCTCTGCAAAATGCAACGACTTTTTGTGAACTTAATAGAATCTTTGCAATTGTCAGGGAATTCCTGGGAAATTATTTTGTATTCTGTGAACATAGGGACGTTCTGCAAACTTCTGAAAAATGTCTGAATTGTTTTGCAAACTTTCGGGAATCTGGGTGAATTTTGGGCAATTGTAGAATAAAATCCCTGTGAACATCTGGGAATTTCTGTAATTCTCATAAAATTTCTACAAAGTGCAGAGAAGTTCTACAATATCTACGAACTTCAGAGGATTTCTGGAAAATAACGAACTTCAGAGATGCTCTGCAAAGTTCTGGGAATTTATGTGACCTTCTGTAGACGAAGAGATGAACCAGCCTCTGATGAACCTTCTGTAGACTTCATAGAATTTATGCAAACTTCAATTAATTTCAGTAAACTTCAGGGAACTTGAGGCAATTTTTGCGAACTCCACAGAAATTCTGTGAACTTCAAGAAATTTCTGCAAATACAAACTACAAATTTCAAGGAATTTCTGTGAAAAAAACAAATGTGTTGAATTTCTGCTAACTTACGAACATAGAAGAACTGCTGCAATCTTCAGGGAATGTCTATGAACTTCAAAAAATTACTGTGGTCATCAGAGAAGTTCTGCGAACTGCAGAGAATTTAGGGAATTTCTGCGAACTTCCGTTGATTTCTGCAAACTAACGAACTTCGAGGAATTCCTGCGACCTTTAGAAAATTTCTGCAAATTTGAGAGGTGTTCTGCAAACTTGAAGGATGCTCTGTAAACTTTCGAGAATTTCTGTGAATTTCAAAAAAATCTGTGAACTTCAGAAAAGTTCTTCGAACTGCAGAGAAGTTCTGAGAAATTTAAAGATGCTTTGCAAACTTCAGGGAATTTCTACAAAATTTCTGCGATCTTTAGGGAACTTCAGGGATCTTGTGGCAATTTTGCGAACTTCAGATGATTTCTGAGAACTTCAGGGAATTTATGAGACCTTCAAGAATTTTTTTCAAACTTCAGAGAATTTCTGTGAACTTCAGAGATGATCTGCAAACCTCCGGGATGTTCTGCAAACTTTACCGAATTTTAGTGAGCTGCAAAGATCTTCTGCAAATTTCAAGGAATTTATGTTTGTGAACTTCAAGGAAGTTCTGCAAACTTACGATCTTATAGGAATTGCTGCAGTCTTCAGAAAATATCTGCGAACTACAGAGATGTTCTGCAAATTTTCAGGAATTTCAGCGAAGTTCGGGGAATTTGTGCAGACTTCATAGCAATTATCCGAAGCATTGGCTAGAGAATTATGATGAAAATGCGAAATGAGGCTTGTGGAGAGTTGTCGAATGGTGAGGCAAATATTGCCTCGAATAGACTTAAGTAATATTTTGGTAAGAAAATCTTTAATGTTTATTAAAATCTAGAAAAACATCGTGTCATATAAGAAATCAATAACCATTTATAAAGCTGCTGAAGGAATATCAACGATAAGTTATAAGAAACTACTGATAGACCTTATTTTCTGATTCAGAAATCTTTTAACAGTTTTGGCATTTTGAGCTAGTCTAACATTTTTTCG